CCCCGCCTCTCTCTCTCTTTCAAATAAATAAATTTTAAAGAAAAAGTCTATAGAGTCAGTCATCCTGTTCTAATTAGGAGAATAAAGAGGAGGCTAGTTACCTATACATTCAATTAATGTCTTCTCCCCAAAACCACATCCATAGTCTCCCCAGGCTGTATAAGTAGACTTTCAACTCAGTTTTTAATAATATACCACTTTCCTCATAAGAAGCCCACTCCTACTCTAAACCCCAAAATGTTCAGCTGGTTACCTGACTGTCGCTCCCCCTCTCGCGAAGGAACGACACTAAACCCTGCGCTGTTCTTTTGTCTGCTCGGCCCTTCCCGGGTTTGCTGCTGGTCCTTCCCGGGTTGGCTGCCGATCCCTCCACCTCCGTGGAGGGGCGGCTCCCCCTGCCACTTTCCCCACTTCCACGGGGGAGCAGCACACCGCCGGCCAGCTCTCTCGGGGGCTGCTCAGATGTTATCCGGATGTTCCTGGTGCATGTTGTCTCTCTCCTCCTTTATAGTCCTCTTCCGCCAATCCCAACTCTGCTACCCACACGCCGAGCACGCTGCTCTCCTCCAATCAGGAGCAAGATCAGCTCCTGCAGCTCATCAAACTGGCGAGAGGCAGCTGTGTAGAAGTTGTTTACTCCTCTCCCAGCGCCATATTGTGGGAGAGCAGATGCATAGAATAAGTCTTAATTCCAGTAACTTAGTCTAGTCCGAGTTGCTCCCCACACCTGACAGCCCACTTTGTAATCCTTTCTGCTCCAGAGGCTAGACTCTTCCTCACGGCTTCACTGTTACCTGGAAATTTACATCAAAGTAACCCCAACTCTGAAAACTACTGGAACTGCCAGCAGATCGCTCATTGTGATCACCATCTACAGATATCTGTGACCATGCTCTATCCTTTTTAGATACTGACCTAAATTTACTAAGCTACCTTGGGCATTTTAACTTGTACTGCTGTACTGACACTTAAGGGGAACGAATAAAGCAAATGTGATATATGCTTCCTTTTTTAAATAATTGGTCATATGCTCTCCCTACTTATTTCCTTTCCCCTCATTAGTCACAGATTATGGCAACGCAGCCTCGTGTATGACATGTAGCATTAACAATGTCATAAAAATAAGTAAAATCATTGGAACTGTAATTTCTGTGAATGTCACATACACAAAATTGTAACAGAAATCATTCTAAGGAAATGAGAGAAAAAACTCAAAAACACATCTACACACCTATCTATACATATATACTCCAATATTATTTCAGGATATTGCATAATAAAAAAATTTTGCCCATAGGAGCCGGCACTGTGCCACTGCAGGTAGTCGCCACCTGCAACACCAGCATCCCATATGGGCACCAGTTCATGTCCTAGCTGCTCCACTTCCTATCCAGTTCCATGCTAATGGCCTAGGAAAAGCAGTGGAAGACGGCAGAAGTATTTGGGACCCTGCCACCCATGTGGGAGACCTGGATGAGCTTCTTGGCTCCTGGCTTTAGCCTGGCTCCTGAGGCCACTTGGGAAGTTAACCAGCAAAAGGAAGATCTCTCATTTCCCCTCTTTGTAATTCTGCCTTTCAAATAAACTAATTTAAAAAAAAAAAAAAAACTTACCTATAATTGAACTAGTTCACAAAATGTTTATCATGCCTTTCCTTAACTATCATTGTATAAGTTAAAGGCATCTGATGTCAATAACCATAACATAGGATATATAAGAGTTAGATTACATAAATTCTTCCTTTTTCTAGTCTAACATCTTCAAGTCATAAGTAATTTTCACACTAAAAAAAGAACACTTTTAATTAAAAATGTCACAACAGCCAGAAAATTAACTAGGTGCTGGACAGCATATCTTTAGCAAAAACCATACTCTTAGCTAAATAAACAGTTTATCTTCAAATCCTTAATTACCTACAAAATATGTTCTATTGGATTCAACTTTACCAAGCATCAAAGTATTATCACTTTGGCTGAACAAGGAAAAAATATCCAGAAAAGACATTATAAGTGTAACTGCGTGGTTCTCAGCAGGGGGTAATTTGGCCCCCGAGAAGGAATTTTGGTTCTCACATTAGAGAGAGAAGGGTTACAGCCTACTGGTATCTAGCGGGTAGAGGCTAGAATGTTGCTAAACATTTTTAAGTCTCAGATTTTCAGAGCTTTAACATTAATTCTCAATTCTTAACATTATCATTATTTCTTGGTAGTTGTTATTTTATTAGCATGCAACAAATATATGGTAACAGCTTCATAAAAAGCAAGAGTTTACTTTCAGAAAACAGAAATTAAAATTTTTAAATCTAGAGGAAAAAAATCTAGGGTACTTACAGATGTCTGGGACATACTTGACTGCTGTGTGACACTTCCTGTGGGGGATGTAGATGGTCTTCCACTGGATAAACTTGCCTAAAATAATAAGACCTTTATAATATGTCTATAAAAACCTGAAACTAAAAACTTTCGGGTACCAACATAACATAAAACCATAACCATAAAAGCTGATAAGTGTACTTATG